TAATGTCGAGTGGGTAAACAGTTTCCGTTATAAATTGTTTCAATGGTGGCAGTAAAATTTCAATTTTGAAGAGAAAACATTGTGAATACCCCGGGTCGACTGCCCCTGTCTGGTGCCGTACGGTTTACAGATTTCCTGGGCGAGTACAAGACGTGGACATTCGCGTATAATAACAATTATTTAAAGACATAAGTAAAAAAAATATAATAAATATGTGATATAGTGATCAGCAAAATCTCCTCTCTTGCTATTTTTTCTATTAAATTAACATGCTATGGTCATTAAATGGTTTTCCTGAGCTAAATGTAACGTTATGTGACATAATTGTTCTCCCGCTGTTATATTGACCTCTTTCCATGGTTTAAAAACACTAATTGGTCGATATTATGTATACTTTCTAGCTGTAACGTTACCTTACCCTTGCCTGTTGCAATGTGAAAATGAGATAAATAATGGACACAAATGAAAAACATGAATTTGTTTATTTGATTTCATTCATTTATTTATTTATTGTTGCCAAATGGACAGATCTTTTTATAGTTTCCTCGTTAGCAAACGTTAGCCTAGCTAGCTTGCCAAGCTATTTTCATAAATAACGTTAATCTGTAAGATCGTTTGTACCTCCAGTCACAGATCAAACCAACAAATCATTCTGCCTGGCTGTAGCTGTCATCGAGGGTGAGTTCGCGTTATCACCGAGGTTTGTTTACATAGCGGTGCATATGTCTATATGCCTGTGTAACAGCTCAGTAATGGCGTCGCCACAAGATGGCAGCCTACACAGAACGCTCGTCGGATTCGTCTATAGTTGGGTAACGCTACAATAAGATACCATTCATCAACATTACTTAGTTCACATCAACACATTGAGTGAACAATATATTTTTACAACATTAATGTTTGTAAATGTTATTTAATACAAACACTTGGTTGTTCATGTTTGTTCACTTCATTCATTGTGCATTAAATAAATGTTAACGGATTAAAACTTTACAAACAACTTTAAAAATGTGTTAGTGTATACTATTGTTTATTTTAGGTTATTTTATCTAATCTTTTTCTAAAGTGTTTATAATGCTAATGTACAGTTTCCATACTTGTAACCGTGATAAACACTTAAATATATGTAGATTTAAACTAAGCTTTGGTACCGAAATTGGTACCGAGAACCGTGAATTTTTACTGGTATTGGTACCGAATACTGAAATTTTGGTACCGTGACAACACTAGTGACAGCTGTCAATCGCTCTCCTTCATTCACAGCATCAGTGCATCGAGTCGAGAGCGAATTTAAAAACATCCACAGGCAGACCCAAGTGCTGTACTACAATAGTAATAAAAATACATGGATATTAAGAAGAAGAAAAATTAAGATAAAATAAAAAAAGAGAGACAAAATTACAGATTAAAAGCCAAAGAGAAAAGAGACCTGGAAGGACTAGGAGAATAATGCTAAATCTTGAACCTTTTGATGATTTTCAGTGTATCTCTATTTATTTGCTCTTTTTTCACTTCATTTTGTTAATGGAAACCCTCGGTTTGATCAAACAGTCTTTGGTCTTGTAGATTAAAAACGCTAAAATGCAGATGTAATGCACAGTTTAATTTACTTGAACCTTTTTGTTTAATCAAATGAGCATTAATATTTCATTGAATTGCTATGCATACATGTAAGACATTTAAATTGCATTTAGATGCTCCGCATTGTGATGTTTTATTTCATCCCCAAGGCCTCACTTCTTTAGTGCAAAACATATTACAATGAGATATTTAAATGGTAGTATTTGTGTACAGCTTTAAATATTTTTATATAACAACTTTACTTTATCCAAAGAAACCCTCATTTTAGTCAAACGGTAGGTTAAAATGTTAAAGTAGTCAATATTGTATCCCTTAATCACCAAAGTTACATATTTAAATGTTTTGTTCTTGTGACAAATGCCTTAAAATATCTTAAATGTAACTCGACACCGTTGCCTCTTTAGTATGCGTGGTTCTATGAATATGCAAATGAGCCCCACCTCCATTCACTCACTCACTCAGCTCAGAGATCCACTCCAAATTTAATGTTTTTTCATTGACTTAATATAACACACAACTATTAAGTTGTAAAAATACCTGAATCTCGTTGTTCCTAAATCACACTTCAGATTGCAAAAAAGATCCGCGTCTATTATATATCAATATTTGAATGTGTTTTCATCCACCTCGAGTCATCGACATGTGTTTTTGTTTCCAGAGATGTATAAAGTACTAGAAAGTACAAGTGCTCTATCAAAAAAGTGACTTGAGTAGAGGTTGAAGTGCTCTTTAAGCACCACACTTAAGTAGAAGTACTAAACAGTCCCTCCAGGATTTCACGTTTTTTTTTGTGTGATTTTTGCGATCAAAATGACTGATTTTGTGGTGGTAATTTCCAAAAATTTGTGAAAAAAATTTGCGATTTATATATAACATTTACCATTATAGTATTCAGTCCTTCCAGAAAAACGCAGAGTTTTTTTGTGATTGTTGTGGGCAAAAAATTGATTGATTACGCGGCCCGTTTTCTTTAAAAATGTGATTTAATATGCGGGATATTTATGCAATTTTATGCGATGAATTTGCAAAAATTGAGGGAACTTGCAAAAATTGCGGTTTGATGAAAAAGAGAAAAAAAAGTGATTCCCCCAACATCCTGTTCTCACTAGGCTAATATAAGAGTCATTTCTTATTACTTCCTTTGATAAGCAAGCATACTACATCATAGAAAGTGCTGGGAATATTTAATTTCTCATCTTGTTTTATTTCATACTGTAACGAGTGTAAATAAGGTGTGGCCCCTTTAAGAGCTGCGCGCTCCCTGTTGAACTCTCTGCAGTGTTATATGTGCGCCTCGAACACCCCATGTGTGCGGGTAATTTCTGTTTGATGCTACTACTTTTATCTTATGTTGTTTATTAAGTAACGATGTGACAGTAGAACGTTCGATAGACAGTTATACGAGTTCGATTTGTGGGATGTCAATCGCCTCCGTGAGTCTGTCTGGCGTCGCGTAATTGCGTCACTTCATAACGTTCCCATGGAAACAGGGGGAAATGGCTGCTCTTGTGTGAAGCAAACGCAACATTTTTCAACTTTCTGCTAAGATGTGACTTTTTTGCAACGAAAATGCGAGGATTATGAAATTATGCAAACCCCGCATATTTTGCACGGAAATCGGCAATTTATGCGGCGAAAGTGCGGCGTATTTGAAAAAAATGCAGCCCCCGCATAAATATGCGGACTTTGGCTGATTTTGCATTGAATTCAGCGATCGCATAATCGCGTTTTTCTGGAGGGACTGACTAAAGTATTCAACATTTTTTGTACTTAAGTATTGCAAGTAGTTTATTTTAAAATTCACTACTTAAGTACTAAAAGTACAAGTATTGTGTCATGTAATTATTAAAGAAAGCAGTCAAAAGTTTGATCTAGCAATCAAATAAGGCGCTTTGGCGGGATACAAATTTGCTTAGTTGACGATGTGTGTCAATCAATACCATTACCCTATAAAACTGGCGAGCGATTTAGGCAGCATGAAAGCCAACTTGCAACGAATGATTCGTAAAATTTGTACAATTGTAACGAGTAACTAGCAGAACATTAAAAAAATATCGAAGTAAAAGTATTAAATTCATCGAAAATATCTACTGAAGTAAAAGTAGAAGTATGAGAAAAAAACAATACTCTAGTAGAGTACAGATACAGCATTTTAGTACTCAAGTAGTTCTACTTCGTTACTATACAGCTCTGTTTGTTTCCGATCATCAGGCAGATGACGAGGACGCCTCGGGCAGCGAGATAAAGACCCTGCGCGCGCACAGCGGCCCGGTGTATCGCACGGCGTTCCTGACGGACGGCTCAGGCCTGCTGTCCTGCTCGGAGGACTCAACCGTGCGCTTCTGGGATCTGACCAGCTTCACCAACACCGTCCTGTACCGCGGCCACGCCTACCCCGTGTGGGATGTGGACGTCAGTCCCTGCAGCCTTTACTTCGCCACGGCGTCCCACGACCGCACCGCGCGCCTCTGGAGCTTCGCTCGCACGTACCCGCTCCGCCTGTACGCCGGACACCTCTCCGACGTCGACTGCGTCAAATTCCACCCCAACTCCAATTACGTGGCGACGGGTTCGACGGATAAAACGGTGCGCCTGTGGAGCACCCAGCAGGGGGCGTCCGTGAGGCTGTTCACCGGGCACCGCGGCCCCGTGCTCTCGCTGGCGTTCTCGCCCAACGGGAAGTACCTGGCGTCGGCCGGGGAGGACCAGAGACTGAAGCTGTGGGACCTGGCGTCCGGGAGCCTGTTCAAAGACCTGCGCGGGCACACCGACAGCATCACCAGCCTGTCCTTCAGCCAGGACAGCAGTTTAGTGGCCTCCGCCTCTATGGACAACTCTGTGCGCGTGTGGGACATACGAAACGCGCACGGCTCCGCCCCCACCGACGGCTCCAGCAGCGAGCTGATTGGACAATACACCGGGAGCACTAGCAATATCCTCAACGTGCAGTTCATGGCCTGCAACCTGCTGCTGGTGACGGGCACTGCGCTGGAGAAACAGGAGCAATGAGGGACAGTCTCGGATTAACATGTCTACGGCATATTTCACACCGAAATCATATTTTGTGCAACTAAAATGACATCTTTTAGTTGGGCTATCAAACGATTAATCGCGATTAATCGCATCCAAAATAAAAGTTTGTGTTTACATAATATATGTGGGTGCACTGTGTGTAATTATTTTAGATATATATATATATAAATACACACACATGCATGTATATTTAAGAAATATTTTCATGTATATAGATTTATATATAATTTATATGATATATAAAAATAAATGTTTTATATATAAATTATAATTCTTTCTTAAATATACATGGATGTTGTATGTAATTTTATATAAATAATTAAAAATAAAATATATATATATATATATATACTAAATAATTATACACAGTGCACCCACATATATTATGTAAACACAAACTTTTATTTTGGATGCGATTAATCGCGATTATTCGTTTGACAGCCCTACCTTTTATTTATATAAATGAATAAATAAAAATAAAAAATATATATTCAAAATAATTATACACAGTGCATCCACATGTATTATGTAAACACAAACTTTTATTTTGGATGTGATTAATCGCGATTATTCGTTTGACTGCCCTACCTTTTAGCGCCGTTTAAACATGCTCATCATAGTTGTGAATAGTTTATGATGGTGTAGTTTGATTCAAGTATATAATCGAGTTCATAGCCCTCAATACTTTTATATTAATAAACTACAATAATTCGGAATGAATTTTACTGAAAAGTTCTGCTTATATTTATAAGTTCATAACAATTCACTGTATTTTTCCAATCTTTGTTAAAGCACAACACAAACTTGCTTGATGTGTAAATATTTATTATTATTAATAATATTACAACAAGAATTTGGTTCGCCATTTGAAAATGGTACTAAGAGGTTTCATTTTTCGGCACAAAATATGTTCTCGTGAAACGTGTCCCGGACAGGTTTAGTGAGGTTCACACTTGTGTGTGTTGTGAAGCGTGAGTGTTTGGTTGCTGATGTCTGTTAATGCCTCTCGAGGTCAGAGGTGAATCCTGCTGTTTTCATTTAGATGTAAATAGACAAGTTAGATCATTATTTTCACGTGTGGATTATTCAGCTCGGCTAATTTCCGTTGTGAGATTGCAGATTTGATGATGGCCCATGTTTGCAAAGATCGTTCTGGATCTTCACCCTGAAGCCAGACAAACAGGATTCTTTCTGCTTGATCAATCCTCGTTTTGTTTCACGTTAGTTTAACATTGCATCTTCCCACAGTAAGTTCCAGACAGATCGAGTTTGCCAAGTTTTCTCATTAAGGGCATTTAAAGGCAAAACTTCCCTATGAAAGTTCAAAAAACGATTAATTTACACGCCAGTTGTTGCAGTTTCACTGAATTATGCAGTTGGTTTTGTATGAAGTCTTCTTGTGTCCCTGGTGGTCGACAACACGTGTGTCTGGAACTGTGAAGATGAAAAAAATGACTTTTGTATCTATTTGTATTGCTTCCTTGAAAAGAAATGATTTTGCGTCATTCTGATACTTGTAAATATATTTTTGTAAGATTTCTCGGCTGTCCCGATCTTATTTTTTGATGTTGCATATCTGAATATTAGCATTCTAGTACAGTAACGCCGTAGTGTAGTGATCCGCCTCCTCACACACAGGCGTGGCTGCTTTCACCCTAACCAGTTTCTGCTCTGGATGGGTGTGACGCCAACCTGACAAGCCTGTCCACTGGCCAGTGTGGCTGAATATCTCTCACACACACACTCGCAGCTCCGGTAGAGCGTCACTCGTGTCCTGTCTGAGGTTTTAGAGCTGATTTGAAGATGCCCTACATTGTGAATCCGCCGAGCGGCTCTGGGCAGGCGACCCTGGTGGAGAGCACGCAGGCGGACGGGAGGACGTATGAGCAGATCCGGCAGGAGTGTTTGCGGAAGGGGAAGTTGTTCGAGGATCCAGATTTCCCTGCCGTGGAAGACTCGCTCTTCTTCAGCCAGAGGGTCCCGGTTAACTTTGAATGGAAGAGGCCGGGGGTAAGCGAGCACTTCATGACACTTGGGGAAGGTTCCTCTGGAAATTTGAGGTGATGCATCTTGGGTGTGTTTAAATGGGATATTTGATGCACTTGTTCACTGTAAGATCGAACAAGAATTGTCCACCCACACAAAACGAGACCCCAATCACATCACAAATCAGATGGAGCAAGATTGAATGAAGCAATTAGCCTAAATGGGTTTTTACTTCCATTTCCACCATGGCATTACATTGTTTAGAGCATAAGAAACAAATGGAGGAAAAAAAATATTATATATAGAAAGAAAATGATATTTTATTCATGTTATGCTATGTTCTCTGTAGTGGACACCAGCAGTCGAATGTGTAGGCAAAAAAAAAGGGATTTTTAAAAAAAATTCTCCAATCAATGTTTTAAGTTTCAGGATTTATTTTATTATTTTTTCTTACCAAACTTTGTGTAAAGACGATCAACAATGTTATGAAAGATATAGTGGAATGAATTGATTGCTTCATGCAATATGTGGGTAAAATGGGTTTTCCCATTCAATACAGCGTCTCTAATTTGCATATTAATGTGTTAAATGTAATGAAACAGTGTAATATTGGGAACCTTTTCATAATAATAATTTCTAATATTTCATATGACTATTTATATATAATTTCTTTCACTATTTACTGTCCCCAAAATGCCTGATAAGCATGTTTTATTAGCCTTTTTTCTCTACAGTGGAGATGTAGGAAATCAAGGCCCTGTTTTGTAACAGAAAGTCATATTTTGATTGGAAACAAGATTTGAAAATGAGTCTGATTTAAATAATTACAAAATATTATCATATTCCATGATGAGAGAACTAAATTTGATCACTAAATTAAAGGAGAACCCCGGCGAACAATGAACCTTTGGTCTAATAAAACATCGGTACATAGTCGACCGTTCTCTGAGATTTGTTTTCATGATAATCGAATGTAAAGAGTTTTATCTCTAAAAATTGTTTAGCGTATAATGCTAGTAAATAATGGGAGCATTGACTAAGTAAAAAATCGCTAGTTTATACCACTAACAAGGCTCAAAATAGCCCCACACTAACGCAGTAACATAATGAGGGTCCATACATACAAAACGAAGCATTGAGAACTTTGTAAGTGTACAGACCGTTTAATAAGAAGATACTTTATGAAGACAGTTCACTTCGCGTATACAGGCAGGAGCCATCTTAAACAATAGTCTCGATAAGTCAAACCACGAACGTCGTGCTGAGTGATCAGAACTGTATTAAGTTCAGCGAACTTCTGAACTGTTTGAACGGCGTTCGGGGATCGACTTATCGGGACTATTTTTAAAGATGGCTCCTGTCTGTATACACGAAGTGAACTGTCTTCATAAAGTATCTTCTTATTAAACGGTCTGTACACTTACAAAGTTCTCAATGCTTCGTTTTGCATGTATGGAGCCTCATTATATTACTGCGTGAGTGTGAGGCTATTTTGAGCCTTGTTAGTGGTATAAACTAGCGATTTCTTTTTACTTAGTCAACGCCCCCATTACTAGCATTATACGCTAAACAGTTTTTAGAGATAAAACTCTTTACATTCGATTATCATGAAAATAAATCTCAGAGAACGATTGACTAGGTACCGATGTTTTATTAGACCAAGGTTCATTGTTCGCCGGAGTTCTCCTTTAATGTCAGCCATTTTTAAAGACCGAGGAGAGTTGTCCTCGTGAAACCTCCATGAATTTGGCATCTCTAAAACTGACGTTTTTGGTGTCAGAGAAATTCATTCAAATATAATGTCCACTACTGTGGACAAAAGTGTGTTCATGGGTCCCAGCCAGGAGCTGAGCATAACCCTTCTATGTGGACACATGTGTGGAACTGTCAAATTGTTAAATTTTCCTCAATACTAAAGTAGAGGATGAAATGCTCAATAAATAGTTTAGCATTTCCATCCATGTATAGATGTTAGGTGAATGAATGGGAGTGGTTTTTACAGTTTGTAATTAGTAGCTGAATTCCTGTCGTGATTGTTATGGCAGACAACTGATACAATGGTGCATGCACTTTACATGTTTTTCACTTTACAAACTTCACTGAAACATTCTTAGATTCACCCAAAATGGTTCTTCTATGGCATTCCTGTGAAAACCCCCTTTAGGAACTTTTTGTGCATCTTGGCTCATGATGGTTTTGGGAAACGCAGCCCAGGTTGTCAATTTTATGAACACACCAGTTCTGTAGTTCCTGATATTTCACTTTCCTTTGAGAGTAACACAACAAAAAGTTGGGCATATTTGTGCACGAAATACATTTATGAAGTAGGCATTGGCGACGGATGCCATGAAACAGGTCAGGAATGCGGGTCGAATGTAAGCATGCATGGAACGCACAGTGTTTATTTGGTATTGATTGTTGAAATATTTAGATGATCCTGGTTTTATTTAGCTGGAAGCTAAATGGGCTGAGTTATAAGTGGTTATGACAAAATGATGTATGGGACACCATTCTTGGCAACATGTCACTTCACATTTGGTATAAGATGATCCACACCTCTTTCGGGACCTCTGAATGAAACTACAGTACAGTACAACTGCATTTCATTGCAGGGTGTTCCCGCAGAGCGAGCGTGAAGAGTGTGGGCTTGAGTTATGTGAACACACCTCACACAGGCATCATGGGCGTTCACACATCTCCCTCAGTCAAACGATTCATTAGTTCAACTGCTGGTCATGTGATGTGTTGGAACTTCTGGAAATGTCTGGTAAAAGTAGCTTAAAGTTTAACAGCCAGAGTTGATGGGAGCAAAGTTCACTGTTTTGAACACAACCTACACTGACCTTTTCTTTCTCAAAATACTTCTAAAAATGTTTGGATAAATGGATGGGTAGATAGACAGATAGATAGATGGATGGGTAGATAGATAGATAGATAGATAGATAGATAGATAGATAGATAGATAGATAGATAGATAGATAGATAGATAGACGGATGGATGGATGGATGCATGCATGGATGGACTGGTAGATAGATGGATGGATGGGTAGATGGACAGACAGATGGATGGATGGATGGATGGATGGATGGATGGATAGACGGACGGATGGATGGGTAGATGGATGGATGGATGGATGGATAGACGGACGGATGGATGGGTAGATGGATGGATGGATAGACGGACGGATGGATGGGTAGATGGATGGATGGATAGACGGACGGATGGATGGGTAGATGGACAGACAGATGGATGGATGGGTAGATGGATGGATGGATAGACGGACGGATGGATGGGTAGATGGACAGACAGATGGATGGATGGATGGGTAGATAGACAGACAACATGGATGGACTGGTAGATAGATGAATGGATGGATGGACTGGTAGATGGACAAACGGATGGATGGATGCATGGATGGGTAGATGGACAGACAGATGGATGGAGGGGTAGATAGACAGTCAAGATGGATGGACTGGTAGATAGATGGATGGATGGATGGGTAGATAGACGGAGGGACAGGTAGACAGGCAGACGGATGGATGGACTGGTAGATAGACAGATGGATGGATGGATGGATGGATGGATGGATGGATGGATGGTAGATAGACAGAGGGACAGGTAGACAGACAGACAGACGGAAGGATGGATGGGTGGGTTCACAGATAGATGGATGGGTGGGTGGGTGGGTATAGACAGACAGATGGACGGATGGATGGGTGGGTATATAGACAGACAGATGGACGGATGGATGGGTGGGTATATAGACAGACAGATGGACGGATGGATGGGTGGGTATATAGACAGACAGATGGATGGATGGGTGGGTAGATGGACAGTTGGATGGATGGATGGAAAGGTAGACAGACAGATGGATGGATGGTTGGGTATATAGATAGACAGCTGGATGGGTAGATAGACAAATGGATGGATGGATGGATGGGTAGACAGACAAACAGATGGATGGATGGGTAGATAGACAAACGGATGGATGGATGGACGGGTAGATAGACAAACGGATGGATGAATGGTTGGGTATATAGATAGACAGCTGGATGGGTAGATAGACAAAAGGATGGACGGGTAGACAGACAAACAAATGGATGGATGGATGGATGGGTAGATAGACAAACGGATGGATGGATGGACGGGTAGATAGACAAACGGATGGATAGATGGATGGGTGTTATTAGATTTGATCAATTGATTGATATTTTTCTCTGATCCGTTCAAATTCAGGAAATCTGCAAAAACCCACAATTCATCACAGGAGGAGCCACCAGGACGGACATCTGTCAGGGGCAGCTGGGTATGCCTTCCTCATTGATTCTTCAAAACACCTTCAATGACCAGAGAATGTCCATGCATTATGCATAATATACGAGTATATATTCAGTAATATATCATATCCTTCACAGGAGACTGCTGGCTGTTGGCAGCGATCGCCTCCCTGACCCTCCATGAGGAGACGCTGAAGAGGGTCGTCCCACATGACCAGGGCTTTGATCGCGGATATGCCGGTATCTTCCACTTCCAGGTGAGTCTCACTCGCTGATAGGGGAGTAACAATATCGTATAAGCATATTCGTCTAAAATAATCCTGTGTTTTCAGCTTCAGAATCATGAATATTGTTATTCTGGTGTCTCTATTGTCCCGTGCTTTGGGTTTCCAGCACCAAGTCCAAGATATTCATTTACACCCCTAATGAATCACCAAATTTAGCGTTCTAATCAACAATACATTATTGTAAACTTTTGTCAAATGTCTCAGTATCGCGTTCAGTATTGCGATACGCATCGAATCGTGTCATGAGGGTATCGTTACACCCCTACTCACTGACGCTCTACAGGGTGCCAAACGTTCGATAATTATCGTTGTATGGTCATTTTGACCTTCGTACGATGAATATTGAAAAAATTCCTACAATGTACGACTTTTGATTGATATAATCATAGGGCTTCTCTACTCATTGATCTAGCTGTGGATTGTACGTCTACCGTCGCGATTGTGAGGAGAACGTGAACTTGGCGATACGCATGTCTTCCATTTATTTCTTCTCGGCCAATCAGCTTTGAGAATGACTCTCTCTCACAAGCAAAAGTTAACGTTCCTTTTAACGCTCCTTAGGTCAGTTGTTTACAAGCTGAGGTCATAAAGTAATTTCCAGGTCGTGTCAAAACGTTGTTGGTCTAGATAACCAACTAGATTTGATTCGTGTACGATGATTTTACGACAAGCTTCTGGTGCGATACTTGTACATTTCCAATCTGGAAACACTAACAAAGGCCTTGAACCCTAATCAAACTCGCCTTGTTCACAGTTCTGGCAGCATAATAAATGGATGGATGTGGTGGTGGATGACAGACTCCCGTGTGTGAGGAGCAAGCTGATGTTCGTCCACTCCGCCGACCAAACCGAGTTCTGGAGTGCGCTTCTGGAGAAGGCCTATGCCAAGTATGCGCATTAGCTCACAAAACAAAATGTCAGATCTTAGTTTTGAGATGTCCAACTCATTCCTGTGTGTCTCTCTCAGACTGAACGGCAGCTATGAATCCCTGAAAGGTGGAAGCACCATGGAGGCGATGGAGGACTTCACCGGTGGCGTGGGCGAGATGTACGAGACTAAGAGCGCCCCAAACAACCTCTTCACCGTCCTCAAGAAAGCGGTGGAGAGAGGGTCCATGCTCGGATGCTCCATCGATGTAAGCCAAGCTTTACTGGATTCAAAGTGAGATTTATAACCTAGTCCCTTCCCGATTTCCAGATGTTTGTGTTTTCATGTCGCTAGATCACAAGTTCTGCTGAATCCGAAGCCCAAACCTCTACTGGTCTGGTTAAAGGACACGCTTACTCCATCACTGGAGTTGAAGAGGTAAACACAGAAACTCGCGATTAATCGCGATTAATCGCATCCAAAATAAAAGTTTGTGCTTACATAATATATGTGTATAATTAGTTTGTATATATGCATGTATATACAATTTATAATTCTTAAATATATCCACAAACTTTTATTTTGTATGCGATTAATCGCGATTAATCGTCGCCCTGCACTTCTTTTCTTATTTGGGCTCAGATTCACCGTTTTCCTCTCTCTGTTTTGTCTCGTCTCTTCAGGTCAACTACAGAGGAGCGAAGATCCAGCTGATCCGTGTCCGAAACCCCTGGGGTCAGGTGGAGTGGAACGGGCCCTGGAGTGACAAGTAAGCAACCATGACGACATAGTCCGTTTAGGAAATATTATATTCAAAAAACATCTTAGAGAACAGTCTTGTTGTGTCATATATCGCTGCAAAGGTCTAGTAGAAAGCAATATGCCTATTTTCACAATGTGAAAAAATGTGTTATTACATTTTATTATTCAACAGTACTTTTGAGTTACTGCACTTGGGACACGGGTCTCTGAACAGCTTAAAGGGATACTCCACTTTTTTGGGAAATAGGCTCATTTTGCCACTCCCCCAGAGTTAAAAAGTTGGGTTTTACCGTTTTCGAATGTATAGAATATCAGTAACCAGACAGTTTCTGGTCTCATTGACTTCCATAGTAGGAAAAAAAATATACTATGGAAGTCAATGAGACCAGAAACTGTCTTGTTACTGATATGTGATATTCTTCTAAATATAAAAAAAATTGGCTGAATGGATTCGAAAACGGTAAAACTCAACTGTTTAACTCTGGGGGAGTGGCAAAATGAGCCTATTTCCAAAAAAAAAGTGGAGTATACCTTTAATGGCTTGGTGATACATGCATTTAAATTCTTTTATAATCACATCTATAAATAAATACTTTGCTATTGTACTTGGGATGTCACTGTAAGTGCTCCAAATCTTGTATTTTTAGCTCTAGGGAATGGAGCAACATTGACAGCGCAGAGAAGAATCGATTGCTACACAATTCCCTGGATGACGGAGAGTTCTGGTATGTACGACCCACCGGTCCAGTTCACAGCTGATATCAGACCTGCGGTGCTAATTTGAACGACTTGTCGTGTTGCAGGATGGAGTTTGAAGACTTCAAATCCAACTACGATAAGATCGAGATCTGTAACCTGACTGCAGACTCTCTCTCAGATGACGTTGCAAAGAAGTGGGAGGTGAATCTGTTTGAGGGCAACTGGATCAGGGGCTCCACCGCTGGCGGCTGCAGGAACTACATCGGTCAGTCTCACGTTGCCAAATTAGCGTCGATTTCATCATAAAAGTACGAATGTTTATTAGGGGTGTAACGATACCCTCATGTCACGATTCGATACATATATCACGATACTAAACTCACGATAGGATATTATTGCGATTATCCAAGAAAAATGGTAAAAGATTAACAAAAAATGCGCTGTTGATTAAAATGCTAAATGTGTAATTGCATTGTGGCTGTAAATGAATATCTTCACTGTAAAAAAAAAAAAATATGTTAAATTTATGGGGGAAAAAAATTCCTGTTAAAAAATTTTCCTGTTAAAAATACGGTAGCGACATTTTAGGTTTTAACGGTATTTAATTTTACAGCAATAAACCGTATTTCCTTATCTGATGTAATGTTAATTTACTTAATTTACTGTTTTGTTCCATTGACAGCCAATAATCACAACAGTGAAGAGAGTCACATGATCAATCAAAGCTCATCATAATCAGCTCTTCCACAAGAAAATTAATACTAATATTTAGAAGCTGCACAGTGTCATTCACACAAACATTAAAAACCATAATTGTAACATGTTGAAATGTAAAAAATGCAATAAGCATTCATTTAACAACATTAAATGTAACATAAAAACCTAATGTACATAACTGATTAGAAAAAAACTAAAACAGTAAAAAAAAAAACATTAAATGTGAAGTGTCATGTTGCAGAGAATTGTGGGAATGTCAATTTACATTTTTTTACTGTAAATTATATGATGACTTGTTCTTTTTCACTTCCAAAAACTGTAAATTTAATGGTATTTTACAGTAAAATTACATTAAATACCATTATATATACATCACAGTTATTTACCGTATATAGTAAGGAAACTTTCTGTTAACCAATTGTTGTTCACTGTAGCATTTTTACAGTCTTTTACCGTTAAAATCACGATCTTTTTTTACTTGGTTCTGGAAACCCAATGCACAGGACAATAGTGACAAAAATATTCATGATTCTGAAGCTGAAAATACAGAATTATTTTAGACGAATATTGCACTCTTTCACTGACTAGATATATTTAAAATAATGTAGGCCACTTTTTAATGGTTACATTAGATCAGGACCCAATTGCATTATTAAACATTATATTCAACATTATATACAGTAGTTTGATGTAGTACTGACACCAAAACGTAAACTTGATTTTGTTTTTCTTAAACCGAAATTTCCATTTTGAACTATACACAACACAGATTGTGACTATCCATGATACATATTGTTGCATTTTTGTATTGCCATATATATAGTGACACGATATATTGTTACACCCCTAATGTGTATCAATGCTATGATTTATACATGATAGAGCCCGACCGATAAAGGATTTTGAAGGCCGTTACCAATACAAACATTTTTGGGTTTTAAAATCCGATATTCCGATATATCGGCCGATATTTTATTTATTTATTTGAAACTGGACATGATAGTCACAAATTTTGTCATGCTTATTTGAGTTTAGAGAACTGATGGGGATGTTCTTTTAATTGTTATTCAATTAATGTCTGTATCGTGACCAACTCAACAGGAACGGTGTAGAGTGCCCTCTGGTGGACAAACTATTCAACTCCAACACTCATGACATGATTCAAGCGTGTTTCGTCCGTTTTTATTTTATTTTTGAAATATTTATTTATCGGCCATTATAACTGCCGATAACGATAGTTTGGAAAATGCCTAATATCGGCCGATAATATCGGTCTGGCTCTAATACATGACAGTTTCTTTAGCATTACATTTGCATTCCTCTCCATGTTGATCTTCTCAGACACCTTCTGGACAAACCCGCAGTTTAAGCTCCGCCTGAAAGAGCCAGATGATGGCGATAAGCTGTGTAGCGTGATCGTGGCCCTGTTGCAGAAGAACCGCCGCCGCCTCAGGAAGGAAGGGCTTGACATGGAAACCGTCGGCTTTGCCATTTACGAGGTAAAAGAGAGATCAAATGCTGTAGATTAGCGCTGCGCGATTAATCGCGATTTACGGATTATGAAATCGCAAAGGATGTGATTATTTTCTATGCGATGTACGGCTCAGTAAACGCTGCTCCGTTTGCGAGTTTGAGTCACTAATAACATGCATTTGAAAAAGCAACACACGTCAAACATCTTTCCAAACATGAGAAGCATTTATGAACCTCTTATCCCACATAAGATAACATTTAATTACATGGTTTACTCCAAACTCACTTACAAATCTTAGTTTTGAGACTTAGTTTTTTCATAACAGTTGACTTCTGGGAGATGATGCGGCTTCATACACAAAAAAGGCAGTCGTGTTTATTAGTCATGCTTAAAGCTGCAGTCCGCAGTTTTTCCTCTTTGTCGCCATCTCTGTTTGAAATCCGCAATTGCAGTCATTCGCGGGCTGGTTATGTATTTTCTTAAATATGTATTTTGGATAATTTTTAACCCAAAAAAGCTACGGACTGCAGCTTTCATTAATCAAAGCGTTTCAATCTTATGTTTATTCAGCTATTTTTTCATTTATTTCATTTATTTTTTTTATTGCAAAAACACAGTACAAATCACATCACAAAAAATTAACAAAATATACAGTACAATATACAGAAATATACAGATATATAAAGAAAAAAAGGACCATATGTTGACAGTTTTAATTGCCTTTTTGTTGTTGGAGCCAGAAATCAGCTTAATATAATGTACAACTTCGTTGAAAAAAAAAGTACAAAGTTAGGTTTTTTAGCACTGAATTTACATTTATGAATATGAAATTTCGCCAAAATAATTAACAAATTTATGTTTATTCAGCTACAGCGGTAGGGATTTTCCTGGAATGACGTTGCGTTATTGTACTTCTGCGGGGCATGTTTGGCGTGTTGTGTGTGTGAGCGCCCTCTGGTGTTCAGATGGAGCAGCATTTACTACCGATCAGCCGAGCTGAGCATACAATAATCGCAGCCTTTGCCAAAATCGCTTGTGGTGTCGTTGCGATTAATCGTGCAGCGCTAGTGTAGATGAGCTTCTTGTAGTGCTTCTGGCTCATCTGCTCCTTTACTGTACCCACAGGCTCCTGATGATCAAGACCACCAGGGGAAGGACTTTTTCCGCTACAATGGGTCTAAAGCGCGGAGCCGTAGCTACGTCAACATGAGGGAGGTGTCCGAGCGCTTCCGACTCCCGCCTGGGAATTACCTGGTGGTTCCCACCACCTTCCAGCCGCACAAGGAGGCCGACTTCCTGATCCGGATCTTCTCTGAGAAGAAAGCGGCAGCTGTGTAAGTCTATCCAACCTACTGGTTTTTATCTCTGAGCTGGTGTGGGTGAGTGGAGGCGGGGCTCATTTGCATATTAATAGAACCGCGCGCATACTAAATGAGGCAAGGGTGTCGAGTTACATTCAAGATATTTTAAACCGGGGATGAAGATTTTTTCAAGGAAAAAACTTTTAAATGCATGTTTTAGGGTTTCATGACTTTTTAAAATTAAAAAAATGAAGTTTGTTAGATACTTAGGTACTTAGTTAGGTTTCACATTATATCAGCAGACCCAACCCACTCTTCAGTTGAATCAGATTTAGTATATAATGACAATAAACAAAAAAAAAAAATGTATGTAGTCTAACTATAACAGGGTTTGTACAAGGTGCTTAAAGTGCTTGAATTTGACGTTTTGAAATGTAGTGTCTGCACAAACCCTGCTATAATGAGCTATTCAGGGTTTTTGCTTTAGTGCATTTTCCTAAAATAAAATAACATTTCCTGTGAGAAACTGAATCATATCTTAGGCAAAAAACAAACATTTATCATTATTGTTAATAAGATGGTCGACATAAGTGAAATAGTTCCTTAATGCAAATTATATTCATTTATTAATGTATTTTTACAGCACACAACTGTATAATGTAATCTGTTTTGTATTTGCAGTGAGATGGGAAACACCATTCAAGCAGATCTGCCAGAAGTGAGTCAATTGGTTCATGCCTTGTTTTATTTTTGTGTTTTTGTGCACAGGGAAAGACTCAAATACAGTTTAGTTGTCAATAGTGCTTATGTTGTATGTTAAGTGTATGTTTCCGTCTGTTTTGTGAAGCCACCGAAGCCAAACCCACCTGAGGAAGAGACCGATGAGGAGAAGGGCCTGAGGAGACTTTTCGAACAGATCGCCGGATCGGTAAGACACGGAAAACTATACGGAAGCTTGTTTTTTTCCGCTACAGAAAAAATAAATAAATAAATAAATACTCACGCATATTGTGATGGTGAGATAAAAAGTCATAAGTTATTAATCTTCCATCGAAAAATCAGGGTTTCCCAAAGGAATCAAATGCAAACTTTAAATCGAAACAACTAATACATTTTAAACAATCTAAAACTAAACTAAAGAATTAATAAAAAGATCAAATATGTTATTTGTTTACCTGTAAGTAGCCTTTGTGACCATTAACCACGGACATGTGTTGTTACATTTTTGTAATATTAAATCTTTAGGGTTTTTAGGTCAAATGTGTGAATCCTTACGCAGAGAGTTCTGTGGCGATTGTGTGTTGGCATTGCACGCGCGCCCTCGTGTGGTCACAGTGTGTTTTACACTCTCGCCATTGTGTCTGTAGGATAAAGCCATCAGCGCCAGAGAACTGCAGCATGTGCTGGACAGTGTCCTGAGCAGGAGTGAGTCTGTCACCATATTCAAGATTTTTAATCTGCATTCGGTGATAAACATGAATACTAACAACAGGTCATGTCACCCTGTCTCTCTGCAGGAAAAGAGGTGAAGTTTGATGGTCTGACCCTCAACACTTGCCACAGCATCATCAACCTGATGGACGTATCCTCTCATGTCTTATTATTAGTCGAATAATTAAACGTAACTAATCCACTGGTGTCCCAAGATTAATGACATGAACTGACATGTAAACTTGTGAAAAAACTGTCATCAAGTATGGTATAGGGATTATAATGTTGTGTCTCAGTTTTCCTGAACCGAGTGCAGGTGGATGGCTCGGGAATGCTGGAGTTCTCGGAGTTCAAAATCTTCTGGGATAAGCTGAAGAAATGGATCGTGAGTACCCGAATCAATCAATCACTCATCGGTTTATCATGAGTTGGCATTTTTCTCAGAATCAGAGAAAGCTGTGTCCTGTGCTGTTGCAGATGCTGTTCCTGTCGTATGACACGGATCGTTCAGGACGCATGTCTTCCTACGAGCTCCGCACCGCTCTCAACTCTGCCGGTAAACACACCTGATGATCAACTAGAACAGTGCAATCTAAAAAGAGTTATTTAGAAATGTGTTTTAGACCAGGGGTTTTCAATCTTTTAGATGCAATAGACCCCAAAATATGTTCATTCAAATTAATACAAATTTATATTATAAATATTTCCAAAAATTATTCGGAAAATTATAGCACTCTTCTGTTAAATGCATTATTTATTTGCATTTTTTGCTCGTTTAGACTTGTTTTTATGTTAATTGAATTTTTATTTATCTATTAAATGTATTTTTTAAATAAATAATTTAAAAGATTTATTATAATTATTTGTTTTTTATATATATATATATATATATATATATATATATAAACAAATAATTATAATTCATACAAATTTTATTTAAAAATATATTTAATTTAATAGATAAATATAAAAAATATTAAATGCATTATTTATTTTCTTGTTTTTTATGTTAATCAAATTTTTATTTATCTATTAAATTTAATTTATTGCAAAATAATAAAAAAAGTATTATAGTTATTTATTTAATATATATATATATATATATACATTAAACAAATAATTATTATACATAAAAAAAAAATAAATAAAAAAATTAAATGCATTATTTGCTCCTTTATTTAATTGTTAACTATAATCAATTTTTTATTTATCTATTAAATTTAATTTATTGTTAAGTAATTAATTAAAAAAATTATTTAATAGATAAAAATTTTATTAACATAAAAACAAGAAAATAAACGAGCAAATAATGCAAATAAATAATGCATTTAATATTTATTTTTTTTATTTATCTATTAAATTTGATTCATTTTTAAAAATATATATATATATTTTATATATAATATTATATATATTTATATAAATATATATATATATATATATATATATATATATATAATGCTGGTTTTTCTGCTTTCTAAACATTACATTTCTTGGCCCTCCCTTTTGAAAGCCCCTGATTTAGACCTTGTTTGTGTTTTCTTCATTCAGGGATGCAGTTGAACAATAAGATTTTGCAGTTGGTGGGTCTGCGGTTCGCAGACGAGAATTATCAGATTGATTTTGATGATTACCTGACGTGCATCGTGCGTCTGGAGAACATGTTCAGTAAGTGCATTTACATGATGCTCTTAGACTCAATAATACTGGTAGTTTCAGCATGTGTAAGCAAGCATTTGTTCTGTGCCTGTGTGATTTTTTTTTATTTTTTTTTATTATATTTAGTATATTCCATAACATGTGGACAAAAGCTGAGCTCTTAAACACAGATGTTGTCATTTGTTACAGGAGTTTTCCAAGCCTTTGACAGCAAAAAGACAGGAGTGATCAGCCTGAACATGCAACAGGTAACGCACTGTTGTATAGTAAATGTAAAAAAATGCAAAACATTGATTTATTTTGCAATAGTTTCTATAATATGTCTAGAATATAAGGAGATACAGCATGAAAACTCACATACGTCTTATTGAGTAGTTTCCTCATTTGTCTTCATTTTTTTACAGTTCTTGATGTTATCCATGAACGTCTGAGGATTCAGCAGGAACAGTATGATGGACGGGAGTGTTGTTACTGAACAGTTCTACACACACACACACACACACACACAGGGTCTTTCCCATTGCTATACTGACTATAAACTCATGTGAACGTTTTACTCTTGATTGTTTTGTGACCAAAGTCTATGATTTGAGGCATATTCTCTCTATGGATTTTGCAAGAAATTGTGATAATTGCATGATGTTGCATTGTTCACAGAGCTGCTGAACCGCCAAGGTTTTATCTCGAAAGGTGCATGCATAATAAACAAAATCGGGGCTATAAAAGAATAAAAACTTCAATAAAAATGACTGTGGCTTTTGTTATTGACAAGCTGTGACAGAGCAACCAATCATTGAAATATGTTAATTATACAAATAATAAATTGTTTCATATTAAACAAGGCCCATGCATTCTGTCAGTGAATCATCACCAGGAAAAAACAATTATTTAACTAAATGTGTAATGCATTCCTGGTTAACCCTTGTGTTATGTGGCGGGTCAATTTGACCCATTTTGATTTTTGAGTTGTCGGAAATACTGGTTTGTTTTTTTCTTGACATTTTGTGACTTTTTCTTTTTTAGGATCAGGAAGATGCATACAAAGTTTGAATATACGGTGATTTGTTTTGACATGTACACACATCATTTTACGTGATGTTTGTGGGTCATTTTAACCTGTTTGAATGTTTTAATGCAACTTGCACAGACCCAAAATAATAAAGTTTCTTGGTTATATTTTGTCATATTAGTATTTATTTACAACCTTATGAAACCAAAAAGGAGCTTTTCCCCACATATATAATATCTGGTCAACCACAGATTTATTCAGGCTATCTGAAATACTATTTATCCAATGTTTTCTTAAGATTTAGTTACTTTTCCCCATTTAGGGTCATGATCATGCATCCAAAGTTTCAAAACGCAGATGTGAAATGTGCATGCATTCATTTTTTTTTCGATTTTGATGTTCATGGATTAATTTGATCCATATAGCCAGCTATTTGAAAGCAACTTTACAGACTCAAACTAACATTTCTATGTCAGAGCTCTTCAAGTCTAGTCCTGAAGTGCCAGTGTCAAAAAAAAAAAAAAGAAATGAAAAAAGATTTACAATTTACTTACATTTATGAATATAAAATCTACATAGGAATTTTTATTTATTTATTATAAAGCAGGCATTTTGATCCACTTCATGAAATCCAAAGATAACAGCTTTTTTTAATTTATTTTTTATTGCAAAAATAAAATACAAATCACAAAAGACTAACAAAATATACAAGATTATAACATATAAACCGAATACAATGGGCTATATGCACGCATAAGTTCCGCATTTGACGTAAGGATGCTCGTCCATTTCCGGTTGTGTAGATTAAAGCGGAGGAAAACCGGAGAAAACGGGATTATGGCAGAGTCTTCAATATTTACTGTCCTCCCGTCTTTGAAACGAAACGTACATACGTTTAGATGTAATTTTATATATAGTTATGTTTATTTAATATAATTTTAAAAAGAAGCAAAAACACAACGAGGGGTGTCTGTTTTATCTGTTTTTGTGACTAACGTTTCATTAGTATAACCATGGAGTATAAAATTCAATATAAATTCTCGGTATTGCATTGGACTCTATGATCGGCGGAAGTTATCGAGCATCCTTAATCCTTCACCGGAAATAACGCCGTGCATAGAGCCCATACAGTTTTGCCAGGAGAAGCTTCAGAGAACCATATGTCGACGGTTTTAACTGTCTTTTTGTCGTTGGAGACGACATAATGTCCAACTTCATGGAGAAAAAGTACAAAATTAGTTTTTTTAAGCGCTGAATTTACATTTATGAATGTGAATTTTTGCCAAAAGAATTAGTAACAAAAATAGTTTTGAAATAAGAAATGCAAAGTCGAGCGTCGTCATGATCACGTGACACCCCTCACACCTGGACTAAACCAAAAGCCAATCAAGGGTGTTTCTGGAACTACGCTGGTTGCGTCTGTATTTCCTGTCATTTATCCGCTCGCTTCAATATTAGATTACATAACTCATATATAAAAATTAGGCTTATATAAGAATATTTACTTGTTTTTCGCGAAGGCAAAGTAAGCGCATGGACTGTGCTGCTCCCCTTCACTCCGTCAAGATGGTCGCATCTCGGAAATGGCCGCTGTTGTCCATGTGTTTCGATCAGACGCAAGAATCTCGATTTGATTTCACGTTTGATAACATTAATGCTATAAAGATCTTACATACAAACGCCCAGATTATACCCTAACTTGCAAGAATGGTGAGTAATGCTATTCTTATTCACGTTTTTAGCTGTCATGCTAGTGAATCCATGTGTATAAGTTACGTGTAAATGGCGATTCAACGTTGGTTGTGTACAACGGTGTGATTTTAACTCCAAGTACAGTGACTATGCTCTAAAAAAGACTTGTTTATGGGTTCAGGTTAGTTCTGATTACAATTGTTTGTGTGTTACGTAAGCAAGCTGTGTTATCATCGTCATAATGATAATAATTAATGTGTTTATTGTAGAACAGTTGGTCCAAACACCCTAAAGATTCACTAACATTCATCCTAAAGTAACTAAAATGACCCTGCAGTCACGGAATATGGCAGATCTGTGTGTTGGCTGTATTGTGATCTGTGTGTCTCCAGCCTCACAGAAAGAAGAAAGCCTTCATCAATAAGAAGAATGCCGTGTCTTTCCACCTGGTGCACAGAAGTCAGAAAGACCCGCTGGCAGCAGACGAGACGGCACCGCAACATGTCCTCCAGCCCACTGCCAAGGTAAAACAAACCCAATAAACTGGTTTTGTGATGTCAAACAGTCACAACATCCGAATGTCGGCCTCTGGAGCGTGTCACTCAAGTCGTGTCTGTTCCTGCAGGTGGAGGTGGAGAAGAGGAGGGAGGAACAGCGCAAGTTTGGAGTGTTTTTCGATGATGACTACAATTACCTGCAGCACCTGAAGGAGGCGCCCCACCCCGTGGAGCTCGTCTCCACCCCTCGGGTCCACAGAGAGGCTCGCCCGAAGCCTGCGGAGGATAAAGAGGACGTGGAGGAAGAGGACGTCCACGTCCCTGTAAGCAGCTCCTCCCTACAGATTTCTGATAATGTTCTGACTGTGATTATATCATTTTAGAAAGTGTATTCACTGACATATCCAGTGAAAACAGGAAATTGCAAAGACTTTATAAATGGTTCACATCACGGATATGAATCAGGGTTTATACTTGTTACAAGGAGGTGATATGAGGCCGTGTTTAGTTATGGTATTAAGATGCGTTGGACACTGTATGCGGGTGTAAACAGGGTCTAAAACACTTTCCACCGGAAATCCGATCTGCCAAAACACATTTTAATACCAGGAGTGAACGGGGCCTTTAAGGACCAAAATGTACCTGTAGACTTCCATTCCTGTCAAATACTAAAAATGGCGCTAACCCCTTAAAGGAGTAGTTCACTTTTGAAAAAAACTTTTGCTGATAATTTACTCACCCCCATGTCATCCAAGATGTCCATGTCTTTCTTTCTTAGTCGAAAAGAAATTAAGGTTTTTGATAAACATTCCAGCATTTTTCTCCATATAATGGACTTCAATGGGAACCAAACGGTTCAAGGTCCAAAAGACAGTTTCAGTGCAAACTGCAAACTGTTCAAAGGGCTTTAAACGACTCCAGACGATGGATAAGGGTCTTGTCCAGCGAAACGACGCTCATTTAATAAATAAATAACAAAGTTTACGTTTTATAAGCTCAAATGGTCGCCTTGCTCTGTTCTGTGACGCACGTTTGTGACTCTCCTGTTCGAACTCGTTCATTAAAACGAACAAATCTTTTTCCGAGTCAATTCGTTCGTTGAATATACCAAATTACTCGAAAAAAGATTTGTTCATTTTGATGAACGAGTTCGAACAGGAGAGTCACGAACGCTCATCACAGAACAGAGCAAGGCGACCATTTGAGCTTATAAAACGTAAACTTTGTTATTTATTTTTGAAATGAGCGATCATTTCGCTTGATAAGACCCTTATTCATCGTCTGGTGTCGTTTAAAGCCCTTTGAACAGTTTGCACTGAAACTGTCTTTTGGACCTTGAACCGTTTGGTCCCCATTGAAGTCCATTATATGGAGAAAAATCCTGGAATGTTTTCATCAAAAACTTTAATTTCTTTTCGACTGAAGAAAGAAAGACGTGGACATCTTGGATGACGGGGGTGAGTACATTATCAGCAAAAGTACTTTAAGAGTGAACTACTCCTTTAATTAGGGTCCATTTTCCTTGAATAATAAGGTTTTAAATGTTAAATGTGGTTATTTTGACTGAAAACATTGTGTTTGACAACAAACAGTGTCGCGGTTCGGTTGTGTCTCTTGCAGACGATAAGCATCATTGCGCTCGTGTGTTTGTTGCCCTGCTGAAGTTTTCTGTCGATTGTGTGTTGCGCAGGCGGTTTCCTTCAACCTGCCCTCGTCTGTGTTCGCGTCAGAGTTTGAAGAGGAAGTGGGTTTATTAAACAAAGCTGCTCCTGTTTCAGGTGAGGCGGACCAAGATCAGTATCAGTCCTGATCATGTGGCTGCAGAAAACACCTTGCATTTCCTTTATTTAAAATCATGCCTCATTTAATTGATCAAAAGTGACAGTAAAGACATTTATAATGTTATAAAAGATTCAATTAAAAAAAAAAAATCATCAAATCCCGCATAAAAGTATCACATTTTCCATTCAAATATGAACTGTTTTCAACATTGATGATAATAATAATAATGTTTCTTGAGCATAAGGGATTACTGAAGGATCATGTGACTACGAACTTTAGTTTTAGTGTGATTTATTTTTTGCAGCTGTGAATGTTGTTGAAGATGAGACGATGCTAATCTGTAGGTTTGATTTTGATTTGCAGGCCCGCGGTTGGATCTGGATCCTGACATTGTCGCTGCGCTGGATGAGGACTTTGATTTCGACGACCCCGAGAACATGCTGGAAGATGACTTCATCATCAAGGCCAATGACATCACGGGTGACGCGCGGTAAAACTGACAAATGACAGAAAACGTGTTACCGGAATAAAAGAGCCAGATCGTTGTTAACCGAATGGACTGAATATGTTAAATGTTAGTCACCCAAAAATAAAAATGTCAACATTTACTCGCCGCTCATGTCGTTCCAAACCCATCAGACTTTCGTTCGTCTTCAGAACATGAATAAAGATATTGACAGTCTACGCAACTACCACTTTGACACTTCAGAACCTAATTCATATGAATTGATTGGTTTATTCCAATTTTTCTGAAGAGATTTGATCTCTTTTTATGACGAACAGATTTATTTTAGTCATTTATTCACATGTAAACATAAAAATCTTTCCGAAATTTCAGATTTCATCAAAAATATCTTCATTTGTATTGTGAAGATGACAAAAGTCTTGAGGGAGGGTAAATGATGACTGAATTTTCATTTTTGGGTGAACTATCCCTTTAAATGTTAACTATGTTTGGATTTGGTTGAATGCTTGAATCTGCATAACCACGCCCACATCAGATGACATCACCTATTTCCTGTATTTTTGACCCTTAGTGGTGATGATGATGATGATGATGATGATGAGTGGGAGGACACGGATGAGGAAGATGATGAGGAAGATTATAACTCGGCTGGTCTGTCGGATGAGGAAGGCGCCCGGAGAGAGTTCATGTTTGCCGACTGCGAGACGAAGAGTCGTTTTACAGAGTACTCGCTCACATCCTCCGTCATGAGGAGGAACGAGCAGCTCACGCTACTGGACGACCGCTTCGAGAAGGTCAGTGCGTAGACCGTCCACGCAGATGATGAGGAACATGAGGGCCTGTTCACGTTCAGTCCGTCAATGTACTCATTACAAAAAAATCAGCAACCAATTTTTATTTTTTTTTCTTGGCTGGGTAGTTTAAAAAAAGTCACCAACCAATTTTTTTTCTATTAAATATAGCAGTTTTTTCACCTCCTAGTTTGTATATTGCATTAAACCGTGTAAAAATTGTTCAAAATAAATTAAAAAGTTTGTTTGCTGAGCTTGATTAAAATTCATGTCAATATGGTACAAGCAAAAAATACATTTATTTCTCACTTACAAGCGAAACTGGAGGACTGAAACTATTAATGTAATAGTAATTTCTGAAGGATCATGTGACACTGAAGATGATAAAAAATAAAAATTCAGCTTTTGTTCACAGGAATAAATTACATATTACCATATATTGACATAGAAAACAGTTACCTGAAATTGCAATAATGTTTCACAATATTACTGTACTGTTGATCAAATAAATGCAGCCTTGGTGAGAGAAGAGACTTTCAAAAACATGACACACAGATTTCTTTCTCAATTGTACAAGTCAAAACACTGACCGAACTTGAACTTAAACCATGAACCGGATTTATTTTGAATGTACTCTTGCATGATTGCGGTGATTGAGTGTGTGTTGTGTTGTTGAATAGTTTTTCGAGCAGTTTGACGATGACGAGATCGGAGCGCTGGATAACGCAGAGCTGGAGGGATACATTGAACCAGACAGCAACCGACTGGAGGAGATCATCAAAGACTACTTCATACAGAAGGAGAAAGAGTGAGTGTGTGTTTGTGAGACTGTCATAGCTTGTGTGTGTGTGTGTGGGAGAGAGACTTTCAGAGTGTGTGTGTAAAAGACTTTAGTAGCAAATTAGCTCTATGAAAGATTAATAATCAATCATAACTTGTTATATTTGATTATGATTATTTGGATCAGTTAATCGGGTTAACTTGATGTTAACATTACAACCAATTACTCGGTTCATCCCTTGATCACTCAATATTGGTTATTAACCCTCTTTGCTTGGGTCTATTGGACCCCAGACAATAACATTTAATTTTGTAACAGAATAGTATTTTTTTTTTTTTTTCAGAAATATAATTTTACTTGGTTTATTAATGTTTTTACTCAACATTTGTGCAGCTTTGGAGGATTTATGATATCTTTTACATTTCTATAAATAAATAAATAAATATTTATTTAAATTGGATCCATATCCAAATATTATAAAATCACAATTGTAACAAAAATAAAATACTTTTTGCCAAAGTTTAGCATTTTTTGTACTGCAAAAAACAACTAGTTTTTTTCAATAATATTACATTATGATTAGAATCGAACCTGAACAACGTTACAAAAAGAAACGTTGGAGTCTTAAGATTTGAGTGTGTGTGTGACTATTTTTGTCCCACCAACATAAAAACAGATATCATTCCAATTGATTTTTTTTCGTAGATCAAGACTGTTGAGAGCCGTAGAAAGTTTCATACCTTTTGGACAAGGAGAACAGTTTTTTATTTATTTGTGCAGAAGTCATTTGGGGTCCAACAGACCCGGCGGACCATCAGAGGGTTAATTGATTAATAGAAATGTACATTTCTGGGGCATGGGAAATGTCTTTATTACTAAGAGCAAGCAGTCAAGGTCTATGATTAGTAACTACAGTATATGAGCTTGAGACACGGACAACTTTACGTGTGACATGAACGAGACGCTATAAACTAGACTAAACTACTGTAATGCATACAGTTTACCAAGGGAAATAGAGCGGGAGGATACAGGAAAGCAAGAAGTTACAGCATTGTTTGAAGTTCAGCAGATCAACTGCCTGAGCAAACCATCAGTTTAGTTCTAACATGCCCTTCTTGAAAAGGGGTAATGATGCTTAATGTTTCAAATAATGAGATACTTGCATGTCTCGCCCATTTGAATTAATCTTGTGATGAGGGGTTATTAAAGCGTGAAGACGTCACACCCTCTGGAGGGGCGTGAGCCGATGCGAAGCGGTCGAGTTTTTACGACCCTTTGACTTCTAGCAGGGCTTTTGAATGTGTCATTTCATTGGGTGTTTATGAAAATAATCTAAAAGATTCTAATAATAGTATTGCATCATAAAGTTAGCAAAATGTAATGTAAATTAACAAATGGGGGACGAAGATTGGAGTTTATAGAGACTAAACATGCCACACTTACGATTTTGGTTAACCATAGTATGCAAGTCATGTTTCAGACCAAAATAGTTTAAAGAGGGAATGAAGACATAAGCCAAACCATATTAAAGGAAAATCATGAGGTTTAAAATTAGATGCATGTTTAGATATTTATCACATAGTTTTTAATGTATATATATTAGGGCAAAAATTAATTACGATTAATCGCATTCAAAATAAAAGTCTGTGTTTACATAATATATTTGTGTGTGCTGTATATAATTATTTTTGTATATATAAATACTAACATATGCATGTATATATTGAAGAAAATGTGTTATTCATATATAAAATATTTATATTTATATAATATAGATTATGTATTTATATATATATATATATACAGAATTTAAGCGCAAATAATTCTTAAATATATACAAGCATGCATAGATATTTATATATACAAAATAATTATATACAGCACACACAAATATATTATGTAAACACAGACTTTTATTTTGGATTCGATTAATCGCAATTAATTTTTGCACAGCCCTAATATATATATATATATATATATATATATATATCTGAAATTAGAAAAAAAAAAGTAGGACGGAGCTTGATTTTATCCTTCGGGAATTGATTTTTGGAGGTTGGGTGTTGTAAATGAGGCAAATTTGAATGCTAGTTTACCGTCAGTTGTGGAGGATTTATATATATATAGATTATATTGGATTTAAAGGGTTAATTTTTCCACCTCAGCAAGAATTAAGTCACAATTCTCTACACATTCTTTTGGGTTGTAAAACGCATCAGTCTTGCCAGTGTGTTAGCTTGATGTGGGGGAAGTTTCACATGGGATTGCTAGTTTGCTGGATTATTTATTAAATATAAGGAATTGAGTGTGTCCAGACGCTACACGGTCACTGTGTGTGTGTGTGTGTGTGTGTGTGTGTGAGATCACTCCTCTCATCATTTAATGTGTGTGTGTGTGTAGCTGTCAGAAACTAGATCAGCTGGGTCCTGTAGAGCTGCCATCTGTGAGAGAGGACGATGAAGATGACGAAGGCGATGAAGAGGCAGCGATTGATGAGATGGTGGTAGAGCCGTCTGGAGAGCGCTGGGACTGCGAGACCATCATCAGTGAGTCTGTTATTATCAGTGCACTGCACTTTCTCAGGCCATGCGAGGATGTGAATTATTCATTTAGAGGATTTTAATATATATTTAATGGCCATATATATGTTCATACAAAATTCAAAAGTTTCTTTTCATGATCATCCTATTTTGATTTTATTCATCTGCCATTTGGAGATATCGTGTCCTCATAGTTCAAAGAATCCCGAGAGATGCTGGAGTTTCAGGAGTTTGAATGAAGCTCTAACTCGTCTTTCTCTCAGGCACTTACTCCAACCTCTACAACCGGCCCAAACTCATCCAGGACCCTCCAAAGGTGAAGAAACACACGTCTCATGTCTCATTCGGGCCAGGGATATTTCACAAAGAGTAGACGGATAAAGAAGGCTATTTCCAATTCAAATCCACATACATTTTGCATGTGAACCAAATTGAAGATGTGGTTTGAGTTACGCGTGTCATGTTTTGACACGGAAGCAAACATGCTATATTTCTACTAATAATAAGCTTTTGAACAAATATAACCCTGCCATATGAATTAATGTAGTTAATGGATACTTAATACATGAATTCATCAAGCTCATTCATAGTACATGCAAATAATAATGCTATTATTGTGGGTCGCACGCAAACCTATGCTGTTTACACTCTCTTTACAATAGTTAGCATGCAATCTATCATAACCAAAACACATTCAGAGGTCATTAGATGTTTGCTCACAGAGATGGACCGGGTTACAAAAGGATTTATAGAGCTTTGAAACACGTAAGCTGATAAACATTTAAATACTTGACACAATGCAAACAGCAGACCAGTGCATGTCGCTTGCAACACGATTCTTAGGGAATGCATGAACTGATACCACGTATTTTTTTTTTTTTTACGAAATGCATGTTGGTTTGGATAAAAGCATCTGCCAGATCCTTTAATTGTTAATGTGTTTGCAGTCCAAGCCGATCCGGGTGTCCGATAAGACGGGGATTCCTCTGGACGTTCTGCCGAAACGAGGCCCGACGGCCAAACAGGTGGAGAGGATGGAGAGGATAAACGACTCGGACCTTCCCAGAGCCTCGACGCAGCACCGCTCGCGGGACGAGAGCACAGAGGAGAAGAGAGCCAGAAAACAGGCCATCAAGAGCGAGAGGAAGGTGCGTACGGCAGCGAATCTGAGGCGTCATTCTTTTTAAGTCCCCCTGGATTCAACTTTATCCCTTAAAACTCATCTTTGATCACTAAAATGTTTTTTCCTGTGAAAAAAATGTCTTAATGCCTTAAAGGCGGGCATACACTTTGCGATGTCTGTGCGATTTCAGCAAGGTACCTACTCACACTCAACGAGTAAATCGCATGCGATGCAAAGCCAAAGTTCAGGATTTATGTGCTCACACTGTACGGTCCGATCGTCGAGCCGCGACTTCACTGCTCACGCTATACGTGTAATATCTGCGATAACCCCCTGGATTGCGCCTATTTACGTGTATGTATCCAGGGATATTGTCAAAACAAGCATCTGCTATCAGTATCAAGATGATTTAGCATTTTTAATTTATGCATTTAATTATTATTAGTATTATTGTATTATCATTATTAGGGGAGGCTATAGGCTAATTTTATTATTAAATTGATCCGCTATTATAATTAATTTGCCACGCAATATTTTCACAGCAGGATAATAAAATATTACATAATCTTACTCCTCATTAAAAATTGTCTGAAACATTTAGGTCGATTACAATGAATTATAGGCATAAAAAATAACTATTAACAGTCTATAATATGTCCGAACATTGCCATAATTAATCATCAATGAAAATTAAAAACAGGTTTATTTCAAAAACATTGTTTAACAAATTAATAAAAGAGGTGTTATATCGCAGGTGGCTTGAAGACGGTGGGTAATATCCATTTTGCAACACGAACTGGAGGTAACTGTAATTTGTAGCTAGTTTGAACTACAGAACTTAAATTTTAATTTTTATTTTATTTTTGCTGCAGATGAAATGGTTAAACTTCTGTTTTCACGCAGGTGCAGTGAGGGAAAAAACACTGAGTTTAGGGCAATCGGTTCGTAGCTTTGCTTCAACTGTTTTTGACATGCCAGAAATTCATCGGACCATCCGATTGTCGATCGTGAGAGGTTAATCGCTTCTCGTTTCTCCCTGTACACTGCACGACAAACGACGCACGACAAAGCTGAAAATCGGTCCGACACGAAAAAAGAGTCGCACGAGTCAGAATTCGGCTCAAAATCGGTCAAAAATCGCACAGTGTATTATTAAAATAGCTTGAATGTAATTTGACACCCATGCCTCGTTTAGTATATGCAGATTCATGAATATGCAAATTAGTCCTGCCTCCATCTGTCAGAACTACATTGGAGGAGGACATGGGCTTGTGTTTAACCACTTAGCAGCATATATAGCTAAAAAGCACTGAACATTCAGTTTTTTCTTCATGGTTTCAGGAGAGGAGGACAGAGAAGAAAGCCAACAAACTGGCGTTCATGCAGGAGAAACAGATGCAGGAGAAACAGATGGTTCATTTAAGAGCCAACGTTCAGGGCATGAAGCTCTCGTAGGACACCAGCGGAGACCATAGGACCTTACTGAAGACACGATAAGATCATTTACCTTACCCAGGACTTCCATGTTTTGTTTTACTCATGCAGTGTTTATGAATAGTGTTGCCATGGATACATCACGATGAATGGAATGTATGGAACTGTTCTGTTTAAACAGTTCCACACTTGACTGACTCAGAGTTCTGTTCTATTTAAACGGAACAACTTGACTGTTCAAAGGTAAATATTTATGTACAAAAATGTAATTAAACTTGGGCTGTGAAACGATTAATCGTGATTAATCGCATCCAAAATAAAAGTTTGTGTTTACATAATATATCTGTGTGTAGTGTTTATAACACATGCATGTATATACTTTATATATATATAAATATATATATATATAAACAATTATACACACTACACACAGATATATTATGCAAACACAAACTTTTATTTTGGATGTGATTAATCGCAATAAAGCGTTTCACAGCCCTAAAAAAAAAAAAAGTCCAACCATTTTTAAATATAAAATACCAATCCCACTTTTAATTAAAAAACACTCAATCTCATTTTCACCAGTGACACAATATTGAACTCAATGCAAACTATCAGCTGCCTGTAAGCTGGACAGGACGGCTTCTCAAAATCTCACGATATGTGCATAACGTCATTCACAACAGTGAACAATAAACAACTTTGACCTGAAATAAACGTATCTGCTACATGACATGACCGTCTGCTCTAATGTTCCCGATTAGAGTCGGATTAATGTTGGAGTTGTGTGTTCACATTTTTGTTGGAAATTGTAATTTGCAAGCTGGAAGTATTTTATAGAAGCTCGGGCATGCAAAAACAGAAGTTAACTTGCGCATACACAACCATCCAAAAGTTTGCCGTCGGTTTGATTTTACAATCTTTTTGAAAGAAGTCTATTCTGCTCACCAAGGCTTCATTAATTTGATCGAAAATACAGTAAAATTGTGAAATATTATTATAATTTGAAATAACAGTTTTTATATGTTAAAATGTAGTTTGTTCCTGAATTTTCATCATCATTACTCCAGTATTCAGTGTCACATGACCCTTTAGAAATCACTCTAATATGATTATTTGATGCTGAAGAAACATTATCAATGATGAAAACAGTTGTGCTGCTTCATATTTGCGAGGAAAATTGTTTTTTTCAGGATTTTTCAGGTTTCCTTGCTGAATAAACACACTGACCACAAACATTTGAACGGTATGTGTACATATGATGTGCCATTTTATTACAGCTCATGATACCTGGTGTATTTCATATATATATATATATATATATAAAAATAATAAATAACGTATTATTTTGCTGTCAGTCTCAACAGAGCTGCTGAATGAGGGGTCCTTTTGTGTTGTGAGTGAGTGTTGCCATAGAAACAAACAAAATACATCAGTTACTCTGCCATGGCGATCGTTCTGACGAGAGTCACGTGACCTGAGGAGCACTTCTAATCTTGGAAATCTTTGTTCAAATGCCAAAGGAAATGTTTCTGGCCGTCCTGAAGATACGCCTGTAGCAACTAATGGCAAAGGAGTTTCGATTCCTATAAAAGCAGGTGTGCCATTACAATGAAGACAAAAGCCAAACACGTTTTTCAATTCAGCCACGAACCGGAAAAACTCGGGAAAATTCCATTTCGTGATGTCATGTGAGGGCTTGTATTTGTATGAACAGTCATAACCTGTGTGATTTTCCCAGAACTTCCCGGAGACGGTGCTTTTACTGTCTGCATGGGACTTTCCTTCACGTCTAGAGCTGCCTTAGGGAGTCTAGATCCCGTAAGCGTTCACCATATCTCCAGGACTCATCTCCAGCCTGAGTGCGTGTGGACAGTCGTATCCACCCGAATCGTCGCCCGTATCGTCTTCATCGAGGGCATTCTTCCTGTACGGGCTTGCATTGTCCAGGTCACGGCCGCCCACATCCTCGTCACCGGAGGTCGGCTCCTCATCGCTGCAAATCTCTAGTAACGTGGTTTGTTCTTTGGGTTCGATGTGCAGTTCACTGGCCACGGCCTCCTGGTAAAGTTTCAGCGGTTCGAACAGGTGTGTTTGTGTTGGCTCGAAAACCTACCAAACCAGAAGGAGACAAGTCACTGTGAAGCCCTGAGTCGGAATCCTGTTGTGAAACTAATTCACACTAAAGACGTAAGGACTAATCTGGTTAAAAACGGACTAATTAAAGGGATAGTTCACCTAAAAAAGATGTTTGGGCGAACATTAGGAAGCAAACAACACTGGACCCCATTGAGTTTTGTGTAAGGACATAAAAACACTGAGTCATGTTTTGATGACAGAAAGTATTTTGGAATCACGTGAGGTCGAGTAAATGATGACAAAAACGACATTTTTTGGGTGAACCGTCACTCTTAAAGGAGTAGTTCACTTTAAAAAAAAAACTTTTGCTGATAATTTACTCACCCCCATGTCATCCAAGATGTCCACGTCTTTTTTTCTTCAGTCGAAAATAAATTAAGGTTTTTGATGAAAACATTCCAGGATTTTCTCCGTATAATGGACTAATTGCACAGACAGTTTCAGTGCAAACTGTTCAAAGGGCTTTAAACGACACCAGACGATGAATAAGGGTCTTATCAAGCGAAACGATCGGCCATTTCAAAAATAAATAACAAAGGCGAGCATTTGTGCTTATAAAACTTTCATTTTTTATTTATTTTTCGCTTGATAAGACCCTTATTCATCGTCTGGAATCGTTTAAAGCCCTTTGAACAGTTTGCACTGAAACTCTCATTTGGACCTTGAACAATTTGGTTCCCGGTAAAGTCCATTATATGGAGAAAAATCCTGGAATGTTGTCGTCATTTCTTTTCGACTGAAGAAAGACAGACGTGGACATCTTGGATGACATGGGGGTGAGTAAATTATCAGCAAAAGTATTTTTTTAAAGTGAACTACTCCTTTAATGTCTTGCATACAATGGATTGTGTACCAATGACGTAAATACACAGATGAAGAAATTAAATATATATGAACAATTTTCACATAAATATTGAGAAAAGGTCAAACATCAACTTACCAAAATATTGGGGAACGCAGCCATAGATTTCTTCTTAATTTCTGAGTAAAATTTCTTCACTAGCAGCATCAAGATGGTGGTTATGAAGAGCAACGTTAGGGCGACCCCCAGCACGGGATACAGGTACACGGTGAACGGAGGATCTGTGTGGAAGAACGAGAAACATAATGTCTTTGTCTTTTAATATCCTTTGATACTGCTGGGTTTCGGTTTCATGCCTGAGACCCATGTCTGTTTTGTCTCGTGTAAAAAATTATTTTCCTTGGTAAAATCTGCTTTAATTGGAAACCGAATTTATTGGAAGTCAAAAAGTTTGGATGCATCTACTAATAACTAGTTATGACTAGTTTCAACATTTTGAAATGGGGCTGGGCATTGACAAATTTTACAATTCGATTCAATTCCCCTTTAAATTCTATTCGATTTCCTGTTGATTCATTTGGTTATATAGGGAGTTGTAAAATGAGCCTATTTCCAAAAAAAGTGGAGTATTCCTTTAAAGGGGTGGTTCAGGATTTTGGACATTGGGCCTCATTTCCAAGTTATCCTGTGTGTTATTTATCAGTGGAGACAGTTTTCAAAATTTTTCATCCAGTTCTTCCAGTTGCATAGTTCGCCAGTGCAAGGCTAGCGTGAGTCAACGGTGACTGCAAGCCTGCCATTAAAAACAGTTTTACCGACTCCACATTACACCAAAGCAAATCAATTATAACGCCAGACTATCGATGTAAGTGTCTGCTTTACGTGTCTCCTTTACATCGATAGTCTGGCGTTATAATTGATTTGGGATTTAAGAATCAAGATCGGTTCTTAAAATTGAGAATGGATTGAAATCGAGAAAACAATAATTTTGAACACTGAAATAATAGTAATCATAGATATTTACTGATAAAATATGTGTTAAACTTGTTTGTCTGTATTTCAAGAACTGTTTACATGGATGCTGCGTTTTCTATATTATCTGCTGTTGAAATGTTGATATAAATGGCAGTTCGTTTGGTTAAATGTGCACTTACAGATTCGTATGTCTCCTTTGAATTGGCATGCTCTGGGATTGAGTGGTCTTTGTCCGATTTGTCCAGTGAGACTGACGTAGTAAACTTCTCTGAGCTCAGAAAACCCAATGAGCACCTCGCATCTTTCAGTCTTCATTTCACAGGTTGATTCTGTCGAACCCTGTGGGGGAAAAAAACACTGAGACTCACACAGATTTGCAGCAGAAGTGTTGCTGGGCCCCCCGAAAAGTTTACAATTAGAGTAATCGACAGTTAAAAGAACAGTTCACAAAAATGAAATATTCTGTCATAATTTATAATAAATACACTCACCGAAAGGATTATTAGGAACACCATACTAATACTGTGTTTGACCCCCTTTCGCCTTCAGAACTGCCTTAATTCTACGTGGCGTTGATTCAACAAGGTGTTGAAAGCATTCTTTAGAAATGTTGGCCCATATTGATACGATAGCATCTTGCAGTTGATGGAGATTTGTGGGATGAAGCTCCCGTTCCACCAAATCCCAAAGATGCTCTATTGGGTTGAGATCTGGTGACTGTGGGGGCCATTTTAGTACAGTCAACTTATTGACATGTTCAAGAAACCAATTTGAAATGATTCAAGCTTTGTGACATGGTCTATTATCCTGCTGGAAGTAGCCATCAGAGGATGGGGACATGGTGGCCATAAAGGGATGGACATGGTCAGAGACAATGCTCAGGTAGGCCGTGGCATTTAAACGATGCCCAATTGGCACTAAGGGGCCTAAAGTGTGCCAAGAAAACATCTCCTACACCATTACACCACCAGCACCAGCCTGCACAGTGGGAACAAGGCATGATGATCCATGTTCTCATTCTGTTTACGCCAAATTCTGACTCTACCATCTGAATGTCTCAGAAATCGAGACTCATCAGAACATTTTTCCAGTCTTCAACAGTCCAATTTTGGTGAGCTCTTGCAAATTTTAGCCTCTTTTTTCTATTTGTAGTGGAGATGAGTGGTACCCGGTGGGGTCTTCTGCTGTTGTAGCCCATCCGCCTCAAGGTTGTGCGTGTTGTGTCTTTTTCACAAATGCTTTGCTGCATACCTCGGTTGTAACGAGTGGTTATTTCAGTCAAAGTTGCTCTTCTATCAGCTTGAATCAGTCGGCCCATTCTCCTCTGACCTCTCGCATCAACAAGGCATTTTCGCCCACAGGACTGCCGCATACTGGATGTTTTTCCCCTTTCACACCATTCTTTGTAAACCCTAGAAATGGTTGTGCCTGAAAATCCCAGTAACTGAGCAGATTGTGAACAACCCTGCCACGCTCAAAACTGCTTAAATCCCCCTTTCTTTCCCATTCTGACATTCAGTTTGGAGTTCAGGAGATTATCTTGACCAGGACCACACCCCTAAATGCACTGAAGCAACTGCCATGTAATTGGTTGATTAGATAATTGCTAAGAAATAATGAGAAATTGAACAGGTGTTCCTAATAATCCTTTAGGTGAGTGTAGACGACCACATAGCAGCACAACTGTTTTCAACATTGATAATAAGAAATGTTTTATCATATTAGAGGGATTTCTGAAGGATCATGTGACACTGAAGTAATAATGCTGAAAATTCAGCTATGATCACAGGAATAGATTACATTTTTACCTATATTAACATATATTTTAATATTTCAAAATATTTCACAATTTTTTAGCTATAAATGATCATACTAGAAAAAAGCTGCTGAAGATTCTTGAAGTGTGAGTGTGAAGTATTCCTGTAAGTGGACAAGAAAGTGAGTTACCTCTTCTGTTTCAACAGTGTATTTCAGATCATCAGTGTTGTTGCTCAGAGCCGGTGTGTTTCGGTACAGATGCAGAGGGTTGACGAACTGGATGTGAATTTTACCGTTTTGGGCAGAAAGTTTAACCTCAGGAAAATCCAAATAACCTAAAGCCATAATAGGACTGTTAGCTCATACTGCATGTGTTTGCTCTATGATAGATGATATTTCAGAGTTCAACCAATAATACAGGCTAAACATACACTTGATTTTGCTGGTGGCATATTTATTGAAGCTGAAACTATCGGAGTCGCTCGGATCTGATCTCTTCCTTCCCCGCACGGCCGTCACATTCACGAAGTAGGTATTGAATGATGAATTAAACAGCAGACTGGATATATTTAAACTTAGATTTCTTGTGGTGTAATTTTTCCTGGAACACAGATAAATAATTACAGTGAGCAGACAAAACACTTTCAAACTACAGATGAACAGCCTTATGGTGTGACTAAGGATTGAGCAGACATTTTATCAAGCTAAAATACTATGAAAGGCTGTGAAGCTGTTGTTGTTTGCCGGGGTTTCCCCAGAACATTTACCTTTCATTGGGATTGACTGACTCTTTGACCACCACCAAGAAGTGTACGTCCTGACTGAGATCGGGATATTCCCATCGCACTTCAACTCCATAGTTGTCGCACTGTATGGTCACGTTGACAGGAGGAGACGGCCGACTCACGGCTAAAAGAGAGTTGATCATATTAGACTGCGACCACCTGATTTTCATGCATGTTACATTTCTTATTATGCTAAATTAAACAATGCGCAGGATTCCCATTCAAAGTACTTTAAAAACATGAATACTGTGACGTATGTGGGTAAAACTTCTAAATTTCAAATATAACTCTACATGTTGTATAGTGAAAATTAAGCCTGTTAGGAGGACCATTATTCTCTTTTTTTTGCGTTGTAACATTATTCTTAAGACAATTGTAAAGTAATACAATTCTCATTTGCATTACTATGATGCATAAAAGTTATATAATTAAATGGAAAGTATTTATATTGTTATTTAGTAAATTGTTTATGAAGTGTTAATAATAATGGTAGTATTTGTTTTACTGAATATATATACATTGCCGTTCAAAAGTTGGTACAATAATAAAAAAAAAAAAAAAATAAAAAAAAACAACAACAAAAAAGTGAAAATAGTAATATTATGAAACCATTCTAATATGATTTATTATGATTAATTACATTAATTTAATTTAACATGATTAACATTTCTTATTATTATTATTATTAATGATGAAAACAGTGTACACGTTCCCCCCCCCCCCTGAATGATTCTTTGGTGAATAGAAAGTTCAAAAGAATGTGAAAGTTAATCTATATGAAATAAAATAAAAACTTTTATTGAAAACTGTCACTTTGGATCAATTTAATGCATCCTTGCTGAATAAAACTGTTAATTTGTTGTAGTTTTTTTCATGGTAGTGTTTTATCTAATTATTTTTGTCCATAAATATCATTTTCATTACTGTTTTACAGTAGAAAGTGATTTTGAATCACACACAAAAAGTGCATTGATAGGAAATTGTTCTTAATTTTCATTAAAATTAGGATTTTTGTAATAACAAAAACAGGTTAATTTGCTTCATGTACACAAACTATAATTTCTTTTTTTTTACGTAAACAGACACAGTTTCGGTCATTTCTGTTGTATTTTGTTTTATTGATTTATCGATTTATTTTATTGTTTATTTGACAGGGACAGCGCACAATTGAAACAATCACACCAGAGTTAGCTAAGAGCTAATTTGCATCTGTTAATCTGTATTGTTTCAGACCGAGCCACACACCAACAAACAACGACTTTCAGCAGTTAGCGCTGGATGATTGTTGGCGTTTGTTGGGATGAACAAGTCTTTACAGGCTCCACGTCCCCAGCTGACCTTTCCCAGCATTCGCTCAAGGTCTCTCATGACAAAGCGATATCATAATGTTTCCTGCTGGCTCTTCTAGCTAAACACCCCCACACACACACGCTCACATTTGCTATCAGACGCCATTTACAGTTTCTGTCTGCAGCCATGTGTGTGATGTTAAAATTGTATCCAGTCTTTGGACTTTGCACAGCTAATGCCTTCAGATGTGTTTTAAAAAGCCTGTAAAGTCATTTGATTGTTGTAATGTGACATATTTATGAGTAGCCTAGCATTGAAAAAAAAGCGGTGCCGGGAGCAGTCGTTTTAGAGATGCTTGCCCTCATATTTTTCTCCTCACTCTTAATTTGTCTTTTATGCCAGATAGCTTTGTTATGTTATTTAGTTTTAATGAGAACAAATAAAAATTAAATGGAGTATTGATGCTGAAAATTCAACTTTGCATCACAGAAAGAAATTACATTTGAGAATAAATTCACATAGAAAACAGTTATTTTAAATTGCAATAATATTTCACATTTTTTTGAAAGCAGACACGAGCAGAACAGATCCTTTCAAAAACATCTTAAAGGGTTAGTTCACCCAAAAATGAAAATGACGTCATTAAGGACTCGCCCTCATGTCGTCCCAAGCCCGTCAGACCTCCGTTCATCTTCGCATCACAGTTTAAAATATTTTAGATTTAGTTTGCCATTGTGTATGAAATGTGCTACATAAATAAACTTGCCTTGCCTCGTCTTACAGGAAACGGAGGTATTTAAAAACAATGACATGGTCATGTGACGGATTAATGTAGACGTACAGCCTGAGTGTGGATAAAGCCTTGATCGGCCTCATCAGTCAGTCACTTGTCACATGTGCTATTTTTGTGGTGGTTTTGATTGTGTGTAATTATGCTCCCAAACATGTTTTCCCAGTTCTGACTATTGACCAATAGCTAACCATGACTAGCCGTTCCATCACTGAGAAGAACACACATCCGCCCACTTCTCTCATTCTGAGAAATCACAGAATAGATCAAGATATCTGGTGTCAATCATAAGAAAGAACAGGCAGAACTTCTGAGAACTCAACAAGCTCCCACCCAAAACATCTCGCATTACAGCAAAAAACGTGTTTTACTTCCGGGACCAACTTTACTTCAACTTTATGGAGTTGAAATTGAAATGTGCAGCACAGTCATTTACCCAATCTAATTGGAGGCCATTTATCACATCTGAAACCTCTAATCAGATTCATTTATTGAGTCTAATCAGATTTATTTACAAGTCAGCTGTTATATGCTTGAACTTTTACCTTTTTTATGGATTTAGTTAATGTGTAGAGTACAGTATGTCGTGTCAGGACTGTACTTCTGGCCAGATGTCTCATTTTTAACCATGCATTAAGGAATGTGTGAAATGTTAAATTGTGAATGACAGGACTGACAGTAAAGAAAGAAAGGTCCCTCTCGGATGAGTTTTTCAAACACCTGCGTTTGGGATTAATCTCAATTGTGAGTGCAATAAAAAGAGCAATCGCCCCGGCCCTTTGGACCACATAAAACTATGCTCTTATTCTTATCATGTTAAAAAAACACTGTAAAAAAAGAGCAAAGACCTTTAGAAATCAAGATATGATAAGATTCAACATGGGTTTTTCCACAATGAATGATTCATATTCAATCCTGATATGTGCATTATGCCATTTAAAGGCAAATGGAAGAAAACATGTAATGTCACTGCAAAAATTATGCGATAAGTTATGTTTTTACACTGCTTTAACTCGTCAAAATAAGTTAAGCAATTTTCCACTCTTTTATATAAGTTTTATAAGATTCAACTCATTTTTAAGTCAATTAATGCAGTTTAAGTTGAAATTACTTAAACATCCAAGTTGATTGTACAGTTGAATATACATTTTACATTTACAATTCACTTTTATCCAAAGCAACTTACACTGCATTACCAAAAATGTAGGCTAGCCTATTTCTGTTCTTACAATCAAACCCATTGACCTTAGACCTAATCTAAAGTAAAAATTTCTAACATAAATGTAATCATTAGTGACACTGAATGGGTATATTTACAATATTTAATGACACTCGGCCTATAAATATGGATAAATATTTCAAAAAGTAAATAATAAATGTATTTATTATTAAAATGTAATAAATAATAACACTTCGAGCTAATACATAATAATATTAGCCTATATTAATACGATACTAATAAAATAAAATCATCTTACCCTCTGAGGTGGATTTCTGGATTAATATCAAGATGACACTGACACTAATATAGATCCCTATCCGCATTATTTCCAGCGAGTTTTAATCCAGTATTCACATATTATATCTTTGAGTGAACACAAAATGTTAATCCCGTAGAAATGATTGTTCTTCAAGTGTAGTAAACCCCATTTTCGCTAAAAAATCTGAATACTTTCACAGCGACGTGAGACAGTGACAAATCGCGTGCGGTTGGTTGCAACGAAACGTCGTTCGTTGCCTCTTCAAGGAAATGACGTGTATGTGTTTTACGCTCACTCCCTCAGGCACGACAAAGGTGTTTACAGGTATCTACAGGTAACGCACTTACTCACTTACTCATTCCAGCCATGTCTATGATTCCAACGAGTGTGTCACTTGTTAAGGTTTGGCTTAAACTCAATGAAAATCATTACAGTAACGAAGCAGAGCGGGTTCATTCATTTACGCGCGTTTAATTTTAAAAGCGGGAAATTTTACATTCATCTGTGTACTGTCTGTAGCCTATGTGGGATCAGATTTCCATCCATCCTGTCGGTTTAAATGAAATGGTGCCCTCTAATGTTATTCGACTACATTACATTAGGTTACATGTGCATGACATGTTCTAAAAGATTATTTACAAGATCTGTGTGTTATTGGGTTGTCATTGCGCCAAAATTTGAAAACCTTCAAATGCATTTTAATGATTAGGACAAACTCAGGGACATAGACTTATAAAGGTTATTTAGTGTGTTGTTGTGCTAAAACCAGGGATGCCATTTAGTCAGCAGCATAGCATCGAGCTGCGCATATAGTTACCATTGTTTGTTTAGCATGATAGCATCTGTTTTTTAATTTGTATACTTGTACTCCTTACTTTGCTGTCTTAATTGCATAGAATTAACATCACTTTTAATTTGCTGTGCACATGCCATTAACTGCAACCGAGCGCTCATAGAGACCAGGATCCAGAAAAAAAAAGAGACCAGGATCCAGAGAGGAGGGAACGGTATCTTCTATGGGAAAAAAAAGAAGTATAAGGGAGACCGAGAACAAAGAAAGAAAGAAAAAAGCATAGAAGTATGCAATGAGGTAGAAAAGGTGTTGAGGTGAAGGAGATGGAGAGCAGACCAGGCGAAGAAAGACCAATGCAGCATTAAGACTATACTGAAGTCGACAGCCTGTCTACACCTCCAGAGTCCCGAATCTGATCACCAACAGAACCTGGGATCAAGCTAAGAAGCTATGCTAGCTATAAAGAGGCTTCGTGCCAGTGCCCTGGATCTCAGGGATTCAGTTGTGGAAGTCAATGAGACCAGAAACTGTCTGGTTACTGATATTCTTCTAAATATCAAAAAATCGGCTGAATACATTCGAAAACAGTAAAACTCAACTGTTTAACTCTGGGGGAGTGGTAAAATGAGCCTATTTCCAAAAAATAAAAAATAAAAAAAAGAGTGGAGTATCTCTTTAATGAAAAGAGGGACCAAAATATTACTTATATATGTGCAAACTGTTGCATATTTGTAATTGTAAGTGTTATAACACTTTAGTCAGTAACAGGACTGAGGAAAATATCAAAACATGAAGTCACTCTTAAAAAAGCATCAAAATGCACCAATTGGCAAACATTTGATTGCAAAACACTGTTATAAAACGTTGAGATCAGGATAGGGAACAGGACACATCAATTTCAGCTCAATATCAGCACTGAACGCCAGGCTTCTACTTTAACCTGTAATGTCGTCTGGCGTTCATGAAAGCTGTACATCAGGCATGGGGAGAGATTACTCTGGAGCGAGTGACCCTTCCCCTCTGGATTTGAAGTTTTCTGCGTCACTTATATAATACATAAGAGCTGGATCTGGAACAGTCTAAAACTGAGCAGAAAATCACTTGAAGGTGGGGGGGTGGGTGGGGGTTTTGTCTCTTTTTACTTCATTTATTTTGTAAAATGAGGATCTCGATTAGAGTGGTGGCGTTAAATTAAACAAATGCATTTTAAAAAACTTGATGAAAACAAAATGATGCACAGCATTGTTTGACTAAATGTCATGCAAGTAAATCAATAAATGATTTGATTAAACTTAACATTTACACGAAACGTCCAAAGGATTCACTAAAATTATTTGGACTTAAAACAGTTAACATTACATGAAGATTATTTCAGTACAACATGTTTAAAAACAAGTGCATTTTATAGAATTTTTTATATGGCTTAAATACAGTAAGAAAGTTTGGGTCGGTAAGATTTTTAAAACTGTGTTGGCTGCATTTATTTGACCAAAAACACATTGTGAAATATTACTGTTTTATATTTGAATATTTTAAAATGTAATGTATTCCTGTGATCAAAGCTGAATTTTCAGCATCATTTCTCTTCAGTGTCACACGATCCTTCAGAAATCACTCTAATATGCTGAATTGATGCTCAATAAACATTTCTGATTATTATCAATGTTGAAAACAGTTGTGCTGCTTCATATTTTTGTGGAAACTGTGACGTTTCGTCTTAATTCCAGACAGCAACATAGTGTCGGCCCAGACCCGGCCCACATCTGTACGTGTGGATTCAATGCGTTGCGTACCAGATGGGTCGGTTCTGGGCCGATATTATGTTGCTGTCTGGGATTAAGACGAAACCCTAAAGTGCCAACATCGAACACACAAAAACACTCAAAAGAAGAAGCAGAAAGAGGTGAGTTAAGCCTCTTAAAGGATTACAGCTGCTGTGCTTTGTGGAAGCAGATGTGGAGCGAGTGATCACTGAACAAACAAGGTGACATGACAGGTGCGTGAGGAGACACTCATGTGACTGGATGTTTATGATTTAAGTGTGTTGTTTTGGTGTCAATACTGTCACTGAATGCCTTTGGGTGAGGCAAATACAATAGATTTTAATTCGCCACTTCATATGCATACACAGACGCAAAGACTTTTTTAACTGAGTGCACCTTTATCAATTCTAAAACTGTGAACTATCAGGTAAATATCAGGGTTAAGACTTATATGAAGACACACCATAGGTGTTTTTTACATTTTTATTTGTACTTTCTCACATTTAAGTACACAAAATACATTTTTACTTCTTAAAATATACTCTCCGTCCCATTTGCTTACTATAATACCCTTACACACACAAAAGCCATTACAGATCTTCAAATAGCTGCAATATGTTGAGAGCTCGCAGCGGTCCAACACAAACATGGGTCAAGGGCACAAACACGCTCACCGCTAAATCATCAAATCCCTGGCAAATGTCTCATCCTCCCTTAATACCTTCCATAAGCATCACACACCAAAAGGTTTATTTTTTTTCTCTCGTAGTGATGCAATAGAAGAACCATTGTTGCTTCCCCAAAGAACCATTTAGTGGACAATGTAAAAAAAGGACAATTAGGCCTACACATATTGGCTCAATAAATGACTTCCAAATAATTTTCCATAGCCTCAAGCTATCCTAGGTGTGTATATGACATTCTTCTTTCAGACGAACACAATGAGTTATGTTAAAACATGTCCTGGCTCTTCCAAGCTTCATAATGGTAGTGAATGGCCGTTTATGTTTTGAAGTCCATAAAGCGCATCCATCCATTAGTAATTAATCCACACGGCACTGAAGCAAAGCGATGCGTTCATGTAAGAAAAAATATGCATATTTAAAACTTTATGTACTATAAAATAACTAGCTTCCGGTAGACACCATATGCAAGTCGACTTAAGCCAAAATAATAAAACTTAACGTTGACACATTCACACTGCCACCATTATAAAGCTTGGAAGAACCTGGACATTTTTAATATAACTCCAATTGTATTCATCTGAAAGAAGAATGTCATACACTAGGATGGCTTGAGGGTGATGTAAATCTTGGGGTAATTTTCATTTTTGGGTGAAGTATCCCTTTAAGGCCACTTAAAATTAAACAGTTAACCGAACACATTTAATAGAGGTCAGCTCAGTCAATCTATCAAGTTGAAGTGAAAAATCTGTGTTAGTTGAACTGAACTAGTTCTCTACTAAAAAAAAAAAAAAAAACACACAAGTAAACAAAGTATACGCATGCGCAAAGTCCGCCTGATGAAAACCGTTGGTGTGGAGAATTTAAATGCGAATGCGCGCGAAGGAGCCGAAGATCGAAATAAATATACCTAATACAGATATTCATCGTCACAAGTTTTGAAACGTTATGGTGAGTATTGAAAACTTCTCCAAAGTTTTGCTTTAGGACCCGGTATAAAGTTTAAAATGAATTTCTAGAATCGCGAGTTCATGCAGTCATTGGCTTTGTCGTGTTTTCCCGGTTATCACATAATTTAGGCTATCTGATGGTAGCCAATTTTCTTTTCTTCGTATCTTGTCTACTGTTTGATCAACTTCTGAGATGTGTGATGTGAACTGTGCCGGTAGATTGCAGTTGCGTCGACCTCTTTCGGGCCTTATTATTTACTTTTAATATGAACACGTAAAGCTCGTGGTTTTCTTATTCATCCATTAATTTTCCTTATCGCTCGAGTCAGTAATTTTAAGCTGTCATGAAAACCTGGATATTTTTAGTACATACCACGAAATTAACGATAAAGCAAAAGCAAAACCTACATCTGCTGATAAAAAGTCTTATCCTTATTATTGAATAAATAACAAGTCGCTTATTGTCAAATGTGATGCAGGGGAACTTGTTAATGTAATTAATGTAAGTTAAGTTTTTATTTGCAGGTTTTATACTATGACGTCAAGACTTCTTGAATGCATTCAGTGTTTTTCCTTAATTTAAATTAGGTATTTTCACCAAATATCCTGAGTTAGAAATGCTTAATAAAGTTAAAAATTGGTTAATAAAGTGATGTGGTAAAATGTCAACCCTGTGTTGTCTGTGTTCTGTATTTTGCTAAATGTATTTACGTTTTTCATCCATTTTTTTTCTTTTGGGACAGTGAGAAATAAAATTGCTACTACAATTTAAAATATTTAATTGGACCAACACCAACCAATTTTTCCATTGGCTGGCTCAACATATATTATTTCGAATTGAGCCTATGTTAACAGATTGTTGTCACAATTGATAAAATTCAATTCACGGAAATTCAATTAGACCAATTGAAAATTTTTGATTTGTTTAAAATTTTCACTGTGATAAATAACCATTCAGATTCGCCATGGAACCATAGATGCCAATAAATAACCTTTATTTTTAAGAGTTTAGCTGGATCAGGGGTAAAAAATAGTTTTAAATGTTCTGGTTTTATTTCCAGGGCTTGCTTCTGCTGTTGTCTTAG